CATGTCACCTTCCTTGCTCTTGCTTCCTTAATTGATTTAGAAATTGTATCTTTGCAGGATGGGCGGTGATTTGAGATTTCATTTAAATCGTAAAACATTCACCGAGGATGCGATTCGATTTTGGATAGCGGAGTTAGCATGTGCGATAAGATATCTGCATTCAAAAAGAGTTGTTCATAGGTAATATATTAATCACTGTAATTTCATTAAATATATGGTCGATTAATATTAATTATATATTTCAGAGATATTAAACCGGATAATGTTCTTCTTGATGACCGAGGTCACGCCCATTTAACAGATTTCAATATAGCAACACATATAAGGACAGATAGACCGTTGACTTCACATTCGGGCACTTGTGCCTATATGGGTCAGTTTGCTTACAACTAACTATAAACACATTTTTTTCATTGATTTCTTTTTATAACCTATGTTTTTGAACAATAGCTCCAGAAGTGTTCAGAGGGGGTGGCTATGGCGTTACGGTCGATTGGTGGTCACTTGGCGTTATGTTTTATGAGTGTATATATGGAAGGGTGTGTATGTAATATATTCTAGGTTCGAACAAGAGACGTAAAATTAAGAAATTAAACTAAAAATTTTTTTAGCGTCCGTTTGAATGTGATAATCAAGAAGAGTTAAAGAAAATGATCGTCAAAGCACCGATCAAATATCCTGACATGGATCCACCTGTTAGTCCTGCTTGCATCTCTGCAATTCAAGGTGTAAGTTCCTTATTGGTTATTTAATAATTTTACAGTTAACATGATTAAACATGATCAATTGCATGCTATCTTAGTTTCTTGAACGAGACATTACAAAGCGTTTGGGCTGTGGCCCTAATGGGTTTGCTTTTATTCAAAACCACCCATTTTTTCGTAACATTGATTGGTCATCGTTGGAAAATAAGAGTATAAATCCAATATTTCGCCCTTCATCAGATAGAATCAATTTTGACGCTACATATGATTTAGAAGAATTGCTTTTGGAAGAACAACCGCTGGAAGCGAAATCACGCCGACGAAAACCTAGAAAATATAAGGATGGTGAAGGATCTGAAAAAGAAGCACAATATCAATTGATTGAAGAGAAATTTAAGCCATTTGATTATACAGTATTTGAAAGATATGAAGGCTGGGTAGACCCAGTCACCAAATGTGTTGCGGAACCACCTGAATGGGTTAAACCAGCTGCTGTTGAATTAGCCAATCAAATGGAAAGAGAAAGCCAAGATGGAATTGGTACAGGATCAGGTGATCTTAGTAGTTTAGCAGGAATACCTTTAGAAGGTGGGGTTCAGGTTTAATTTGAATATTTATTTTTCTTTCCGATAAACTGAACAGACTTTAAAAATCAAACGCATGTGCATACATACAAATTAACCTCAATTTAATAAACCATATAATTTGTGATTTTGTATTTTTTTTTTTCGACAAGGTTAATGTTTAGTAGGTTACGTGATTGATTTGAATGATTTGAGTTTACTAAATAATACACTTGATTGAATTTAGAATGGTTGTAAATTTAGTTATAGAGTCTGAGAATAGTATTATAGTAAATTTATTAAACGAATTAAAAATTGTATTATATAGAAAATTTAAATAATTAAATTCTATAATATTGTATATAATGTTACGCATTTTAAAATACAAAATATATTTGTTGTACTGTAGGTGGATTCTAAATCTACCTAAATGAAATTCTAAAAATGGCAAAGCGAAACAAGACAATTCACCAGCAAAACGTTGAAAGAAACACATTTTCGATAAATTTTGATGGTAAGAAATATGCACTAGTTTGAAAATAATGTTATAATCTTGTGTCTGATCTCTATATCTTTAGAAAATTTTATTCCCTATCTAAAGTGTGCGACAGAAATATCCGGCAAATATTAAAGTAATTTGAGAATGGTTTGTCCATTATCAGTGAATTTAGGCTTGAACTAATGCTACGATTCATTAAGACAAAACCGTCGAAAACGGATCAATAGTTATTAAATATACATGTTAAATTTTACAGTAGCGAAAATCGAAAAAAAAAATAACCATTATTTTTTACAACACAGTGTTTGTATCTTAAAAAGTTACTGAACTTTTTACAATGATTTTGCTCTTGAGATATCGATGGCGCATTCATTGTGAAATCGGAAATGACTAGCACTCTTGTAATCAAGAATGACTGATGATTTTGTGTTTAAATTAATGCTTCAAATTGTAACATCTATTTAAGCCCAAATCATTAAAAACAGTTTAATCATTCCCGAATTATTATAAAACGATAAACATCCTGGATATTTTGTCGCCCACCATACCAAATTGAACGTTCACATCTATAAGAATTCTTATATTTGCTTCTATATTTGCGTTGATTATGATTGTATTCTTGTAGTTACTCCTACGCTAATAATTTTATTTTGACAAACTTCATATAATTAGTTGATCCAGATGGCATGATTATTGCTTTTCATTGTAAACGATATGTTTCTATTGAGAGAATTACAAATTATTTATGAAATAAAGGCTTAAGAATCTTCACAAATATTTCGAAAATGTCTTATTTATAAGAAATCAATATAGGTTGATCTTGGATTTGAGATCCAAATTCATAGAATTCTAAATTCACCTACAGCATATGTAGGGTACCTCATTTTCTGCTGCGACAGATCCCAAATCTGCCTGCATTACAATGAATCAGATAGAAATGTGCGAAATATGGGTTGTAAAATCAATCACACATAGAGTACCCTTATGCCTAGGGTTGGGGCACGGGAAAATTTTTTACATATATAAATTTTTTGAAAAAGGGCATGCCCAGGAGGCATGCCCGAAAGGCGTGCCTCGTGCCCGTGCCCACAACCCTACTTATGCCGGAATCAATGTTGATCTCAATATTGAAGTTAATATTAAAGAATCTAGTCAACATTGAATCAATATTAAAGTCAATATTGACTTTAATGCTAAATTTAGAGAATTGTTATTTCCATCATGGTAAATTGTTATTTCCACTATGGTTATACAAGAATTTTTATTTTTAGATTTTAGAATTAATGTAAATGTACCTATAGAGTACATTAGATTTTTTTGTACCTTTTATTTTGATTATATGATTTTACATACAAAAACAGTAATACCGATATTGTTTATATTGGTTTAGAGTTAGGGTGAGAACTATGTTAGGGTTAATATTTAGGCAGTTATATAGTAAAATCACTCAAGAGAAACTTTATTAATGCATAGTGTGATTTTTGTCAAAAATGACCATTTGTTTTGAATTTTTCTAATTATGTAACATTACATCTGATCTTGAATTTTATACTGATCTATATATAGATCATATGATGCAGATATATATACTTTAGAATACATATAAATAAATATTAGAATTTATATAAAAAATATAATAAGTTAGAGTTTATTTATATATATCTTAAGGTATATGTATTTACATTTTATGATCTATATAGATTGTTATAAAATTTAAAATCAAATATTATATTACACAATCAGAAAATTTTAAAACAAATGGTCATTTTAACAAGAATCATTAATTTTGCAAGAAATTGTATACTAAATCACCTTCTGTGCATTAATAAAAAGTTTTTTTAAGTGATTTTACTATATAAATACCTAAATATTAGCTCTAACATAGTTCTCATTTTAACTTTAAATCAATATAAACAATATCAGTATTACTGTTTTTGTATATAAAATATAAAAAATTTAATGTACTCTATAGATATTTTTTTTTTTTTGTGGTCAAGATTAGCCTCTTTGGCTTATCACTTTTATTAGATTATAGGATCATGTGGTGCTCTTCAAAGAGATCCCAGACAAGTACATTTTGACAAGGATATATTCTAGTCATACTTGCGCCTTTTGAGCATCTAATTTAAGTAGTTTGTCTATTACTAGGTTCTACACTAGATGCTGTATCTATAACCCACCTATTATTTGGGTTATTTAATTAAACCTTCTGATCCGAGTTTCTTATACTAATCTGTCTAACCTCACCTAGAACCTGCAGTATATTAGTCAGTTCAAGTTCTAAGCTCGTTCACGAACTATCTATAGGACTACTGGCTTGGTTAATTGATTCATTCTTGAGGACATCACCTGCTAGAGCAGTCTGATATCCACTATTACTGTATTATCTAGTCTTTTTTGAATAAGTCTTGCTGAATAGGTTTTATATCTTTATGGGCAGGCCACATCGCTAATTCTTTCTGCAGATAAGTTTACCGGATAGGTTCTAAACCTTTATGAACAAGCCACACTGCTGAACTTCCTGGCCTTTGCAAAGTTCACCCAAACCTCAGTATTCTTTTTTCAAGACAACCTAGTATCTTCCTTTTCATTATTCTCTAACCAGTCTCTTCAGATTACCAATTCAGATGGCTTAGAAGGGACATCAGTCCTGTGATATCTGCTAATCCTTTTCCTCTGGTCGATGCTCAAGCTGGCAGCCTGGTTGGTGGAACAACTTGCTGAGTGTTCTTGTTACGTCTAGTTCTCTGGCCTCGGGTAAAGCCTATTCTAGTAGTTATTATTGAAAGTCTGTACTATATCTTTACTTAGATCTTGCCAAGTGAGCATTCATCTTTCTGGTTCTTTAAGTTTATACGAGCACAAGGTCTTATCTTGAGTTTGCACCAACTAATACTGGCTTGCATGCCTTCATATAACTTATGCATTGCATGAATGCCCCATATTCTTACAATCTTGTTAATGCAACCAAGTTTATAGAGATTCCATTCCAACTGATTGTTGAAAGACAGTAGCTGTTATACAAGCAGATATTCGAAATTTCACCATTAGTAGGTTTCAAACCCCTACCTGCCAACTTGCCACTTGGAGATGCAACAATTTAACCACTTCACTAAGTCACTACATCCACCTCTATAGGTATATTTATATTAATTTAATAAGTTAATATAGTGTTATAGAATGAGTTGTAGTATTAGTTTTATTATTAAGTTTATTATTAGTTATTATTAGTTATATTATTAT